AATACCTGTTTACTGAAAACATGTATTCTGTTTATTACAGTGACTTAAACCACTACATGTGAATGTTTTGAAAGGTATATCATCGTGTTATACTACTCATTCTGAAGTATGCAGCTCTTCACTGCAGGATCCCAAAAAATAAATAAAATAAAATAAACAAAAAAAAAAAAATCTGCAAGCTAATATTGCATTTAAAACTGCTTCCACATTATTGAATTATTAATGGAAAAAGTTGTTTTATTTCCCCTTGAAAGAGACGATAGGGTTGGGGAGGTGATGGGAGAACCCCTGATGGGTAATGACTGAGTCATGTTGGGGTAAAAGCTCTGGGAGCAAATCTGTACAGATATGTGGCTTAGAAAAGATTTCTGTGATGACAATGTGTTCTTGTCTTTTGCCTGGGAAAAAAAAAATTTGAAGTTGCAATTTGCATGAGAACAGTGGAGAATATTCTTTCGACTGACTGACTTTAACATATTATCTTTTGAATGAGTTCAGTAAAACCAGATGAGCAGTTTAAAATTCAGCGATGAAACCCACCTTATAAAAAAATGGGAATTCATACTCCCTTTACTTATATAAAAACATTAAAAGTTGTTTAAAACCTCAGTACCTAAATAACAATATAATAATAATAATAATAATAATAATAATAATAATAATAATAATAATAATAATAATAATAATAATAATAATAATAATAGAGTCTATTTCGAATAATTGAGATAAAAAAGCAGTGTTTACATTTATAAAATTAAAATGGAAAAACAGGTTACATTTGCAATTTTTCACACGATATTTCAACATATAATCGTATAATTAGGGTTTCAGGTTTTACTTCTTACTAGCCTTATAAATTCTTTCTAAAATATTATATGATTAGTAATTTACACAAATAATAATGAAAGCATTATTTTTAGACTGTTACAGTTGAGCACAAACTAATTCAGACCTCTGAAAGATTTAGAAAATATTTCTCTCCAAGGCTCATTGGGAAAAATAAAAAGGCATTTCTGAAAAAAGATAATAAAAGTATATAAAAGGAGCATCAATATTAAAATAGATTTAAAAAAAATAGATTTGTTATTTTTACATTAAAAAACATGTTTTAAAAATTATTCTGATTTTTTTACAACCATCAGAGGAAAAATCTTCATCAGCATTAAATTTGCTTTCTGAATGTTTCCGCTGCTTTTCCGATGAGTTATCTCTACTGGTAAGTTTAAGGTTAGAAGAGCCCTTTGCCATCACCCTAATCTTCAGCTCGCTCCACACATTTTCCTTCAGATTGAGGTCAGGACTCAAAACTGAACATTGCCTCTAGCCAGAGGAAACATTCTGGTAAAGTTACAGTGCCGTATTGTAAAACTAAATCTGCAGGGAGTGCAGAGAAGATGGAGGATAACTATGCCTTGAAAAAACTCTAAAAAATAATAAAAAATAAAACTAGATATAAAAACTTGCTCTGATGTAAGTCTGCTGCAATATCTAGGTTACCCAAGTCCATGAGCTATAAAAGTATAACAAAAAATCTGACAGATTTTACTAACCTTTTATTCCTTTGCATTCGATTTCCTATCTAGAGACTAAAACACATTGAAAATACGATCGTTTACTTGCAGGGCTTGTTATATTTCAACTGACGTCAGTAAACTTTGAGTAAAAACTAAAAACATGCTGCAGTTTCCTGCATGTCTTTAATCCGATGAAAGATTACAACCCATTTCTGCTTTAAAGCATTTCTTTGATCCCAACTTAAATCTAAACACAATACAACATATCTTTAATGATCCATAAATAGAATGAATTCAGCTTATAAGTTATAAACATTTATCAATCAATGAATTGCTAATTGGTGCATTTTATTTAAAAAGATAATAGAGTTCAAATGAAAGGTAGAAGAATTAACCAAACATATAAACCAAACTATTCTTCACTCCTCACTTGGATAAAATCTTTTCATAATAATATAATAGGGATATAATATTTTCCAAAACACATCATACGCATCTTGTAAAATAGATGTTACTAAATATGCTAGAGCAGCAATAAACATTAGTTTACTTTAATATTAAAAAACCTTGCTAATAAAACTCAGATATGGACACAGATTCACAGACATATATTAACAAAAGTATCTGAATATTCTGGTTTATGATTAATGAATATAACCCTTTTAAAAACACTATTTCTTTAGCTTTAAATGTAAAACAAAAAGGAGAAAAACGATTTCTCAGAAACTATGAATTATTCAATTAAGTAGTCTGATTTTGCTTAAGGAGATTATTTTTTTTCCCATTTGTGTTTTTACTTTTTTATTTATATTTTTATGTATTCCTTTTTTTTCTAATTCCTCAGGCAGATTCTTTAAATGAATGTAGCAGTTCATAGCCTGATATTGTTTTTTTTCTCTAGATATCAGAGCAAAAACAGATGGGAACTATTAACCTGCATTAATTACATCAAACTTATCTGGATGGATTTACAGAGAGCTGCAAGCTTTCATTTCAGCTGCAGAAAAAATTAATAAATAAAAAGAGTAGTCCACATTTCTGGATTAACTACAACTGAATAGTCTTGCTCCTGTAGGAATAACGCACACAAACAACCTTTGATTTGACTCTTTCTACCCACACCGATTAGGCTGAGCTCGGCGTGGCTGCTAGGCAACAATAATTCATGGGCTGGCAGTAAATGTATGAAAATATAACGGCGGGGTCTGGAGACTGAAGGAGACAGAGAGAAAGTAGGACTGCGATATAAAATAAGACTTTCCTCTGGAATAATCCTCTCAACTGCAAGACAGTTCAGATCTAATCAAAGTGAAAAATGTCTGAGTTTCATTTGCAATCCGTTGTGTTTCACATCATTCTGGCTCAACTTCTCATGTTTTTTTTTTGCTTTGTTTTTTTTGAGCCGACTCCTCATATTACAGCAGTCACATTTAATATAGACATTAAGGAAACAGACTCAAGAAGTGAAAGATCACGAGTGGGAGGTGAGAAGTTTCAAACCTAATAAAAACAGGAGTAATCTTTATTACAGATTCTGTCGACCCGCGGCTCTGATCTGAACAGCCAGTTTCAATGACAGAGAAGTCTTGTGAATAGCTTTCATTTCTCTACTGTGTGACAACGTCTGTCACAGCCTGAATGTCACCACTAAAAGCAAGAATTTCACTTTACTGTGAAATGAAGACTTAAAATATGAAGTAAATGTCAGACGGAGCGGCTGCTGTGATCGGCCTTCAAACCGAACAGCGCTGCCCCAGGCTGTATGCTGTTGCACAAAGTTACGCTTAATAAAAAAAAAGGTTTAAAAAAGAATTATAGTTAAACATCGCCGGAGGCTGCCGGCTTAAAACTGACGAGTGGCTGAAATTCTCACTGAGCCTCTAATGAGTGGAGTCGAGGGACATCTGACCAGAAAACACAGCGATTGCCCTCTTTAATGGGTCTGTTGTGTGTTAAAAGTGTGCTGGATTTTCTTTCTGTTAGAGAAGCAGAAGATAATCAGACTGTGAAGATCAAAGCATTAACCAAATCACTGCTAAAGAAGGGAATGAGGGTGATAATCACAAACAATATGCAAATAATCTGGAACAATATGAATGTCAGTTTCTGCTGAGAAATAAAAAAAATAATGCAACATTTAATACATATCTGTAAAGCTAAAAGGTTAGAACTCATTCTAATTTGTAGCAAAATACATGTTATTTATTCGTCTGAAAACCCTCAGCTGAGGTTTGTCTTTATGGCTTAGAAACATACCGGATACACAAAAAACAGCTAATTCGAACGTTAATGAGGCTCCTGTTAAGAGATTGTTTTACCTACCGGAAGTAGCTCAAAGGAAAGGGTGTTTATATTTTTCAATGTGGGGGGAAAAGGAAACGAAAAGCAATGAATCCTGTTTTGGAGAAAAAAATAGAACTGAATTATTTCTCATGTTTTATATTTTGAGAGATTTTCTTAACGTTATCTTTAACTTGAAGTAAGAGCTCTTTGCTAATTAACTTGCACTGATATTTAGAGAAAACAAGCAAGTTTGTTTCATTTTTAGTATTCTTTTTTTATTTTATTTTGCTGCATTAGCAGCAATATTTAAACTTCAAAATGAATCTATCTTTGAATAATCGAGGATTGCTCATAATAAAGAGATAGCTCCACAAAGTTTCACACTTTATAGCTTTTAATTTCCCAAAACTCCTTCACACATGAGTGACTTTGAATTAAAAGGTAAATCCACACATCGGAAAAAAATCGAAGTCATTTTTTCTTGAATTGAGGAGGTAAGTGAGGCACTTTGCCAATGGAATAAGACAACAAAAAGCAAAAACAATTGCATTTGTCTTATTTCAAGTGCATATTATCTATCTTATTTTAAGTGTAAAAATACTAATTCCATTGGCAAATCATCTTATTTACCTACTCAAATTAAGGGTAAATACACTTAATTTAAGAAATGTTAAGTTATTTCTCTATCTTTTTTGCAGTGCATTGCTGAATTAAATATATACTCATATTTAAAACAGCTGTTGATTTTTTTTACATAACATTTATTTCTCAGCTGATGCTTTATTGGTGTAACTGTTGCTAAGTTGAAATGTTTTAATTAATTTAAGTTATGGAAGTTTTTGTCTCCACATTGATCATTAAGTTCATTTAAATCTTATTTACTTTGTATATCACAAATAGTTCTTTAATAACAGTAAGACGACAACAAAAACAGGTTGTTTAACTCTTTAAAACGATTTATATAAATGTGTTTTCTATAAAACTTCCAGCCTTCTAGCAGTTTCTCATTAAGCAGATCAGCTACTTTGAATTTAACCATTTTTTTAATCAAAATCTTTTTGAATTTTGCTGTAGGGACTCATTCATTTTCCAAATGAGTAAAAAAAAAAAGGCCTGAAATAATTTTTATCATAATTTTTTGCCATCTTGATGAATCAGATCAGTTCATGATTTGTTTTCATGTTACTGGTTACTGCTACTCACCACAGAGAGAGTACTGGTCATGGGTCCGCCATCCGGGCTGAACGACTCTCTGTCGCGGTTCAGCCCAGCGGCTCCATCCTGGCCCACAGAAACGCCGGGTAGGTCCATGCCCTGCAGCTGGTAGGTGTGGTTAGCAGCCGAGGTGGGCGGGGGCTCCATGGACTGATATTGTCTGGGGGACGCATCATGGGGAAGGTGAGGGGGCAGCATGTGGTCTGGCAAAGTTGGTGGAGTTATGGGTGGGATGTTGAAATCCTCATCACTGAAGCCGTTCATCGAATACGACTATTGAGAGGGGGGAGAAAAAATACAGTTAGGGGCAGATAGGACGGCTACTGCTTTGGCCCAGATGAGTGAATCTTCACCGATCTGGGACAAAGTCTCACTTAGAGCTTGGCTGGGTGGGCAAAGTTGCCTTCGGCATAGTGACAACTCTAAGAAAATCAATAGGAATCACACAGAGGACTGCAAGAGACTCAAGTGTCATGAAACATTTTTGTCATAGATAATAGATAGGAGAGATGGTAAAAAACTGCCCATTATAATTACCTCAGAGTTTGAATTCAGCCTAAACTACTCTGAGCTCTTTCATCTAGTCACTCCTCTTCAGTCTGAGCTCCGATCACACGCTAATCATCGCTAATCGCTTCTTATGACAGACCCCTTCTTTGAAAGAAACATTCTCATTCAGCTACAGAAAAATGCAGTCATTTTTATCCACGAACCAAAAAAAAAAAAGGAACAAATAACAGGCAGGCCCTTATTTAAAAAAAACAGCTCATCTGAGCTAATGTGACAAGCAGAAAGAAGAGCAGGAACTGTTGTGTGTGTGATTCAGAGAGCAAAGACATGTGAGGGAGAGACATGAAGAAGGAAATGGAGTGAGAGAATCATGCAAGAGAAGAGTGATGAAAAACACAGCAGAGAAAAGAGAAAGAAGAAGCATTCTCATACTGATCTGACAGAGGAGATGCTTTATAGAGACTGACAGCCTTTTCTGCTTGGCTGGCCACACCAGTCTCTCCATCTCGTTTTCTTTTGCCCCTCATCCCTCGCCGTCCTTCTCCTTCAGCCCCTCTGCTGTGCTCTTGCTCTTCTAATCTCATCCTTAATTTCTCTTTCATGTCTCACTCCTTACTTCTCCCCAGCTCTTTTCTGCTCCATGTCAACGCTGCATGCAGTGCTCAGCTGTAATTTGCATGACTTGGGAGCTGAGTTCTGAGTTAGTGGTTGAACTCTGTATATGCGATCACTTCGTATTTCACAGCTAATGTGCTGAAAGCGCAGTTAAGGGTGTTAAAATAATTAGAAGTGGGAAAGGGAAATAAGCCATAAACACTGCTAGTATTCAAAACTACTCAAACGTTTCTAGTAACAACCGCTACATTCAGCGTATCTTATTGGGCGTCTTGTATTAGCACATAGTTGTAGTGTAAAGAAATGAAATGTATTTTTAATGTTTTCTATCACTAAAAAAAACATCTTTAGTAGAGATTACAACTACAAGTCCTTATCTCACATTTTACCCACAGATGCTCAGTTGAATTGGGAGTGCAACAATTCAAATGTAAATATTTAATTATTTCTTAATATCAGTTCATTTTGTCTTGAATTGAGCAGGTAAGTGAGACATTTGGAACAATGGAACCACATAATTTACATTTAAAATAAGAAAAAAAAATTGCATTGTCTTATCTCAAGTGCATATTATATAATTATCTTACTTTAAGAGTAAAAATACTCATTCCACTGGCAAATTATTTCATTTACCTACTTAAATGAAGGGTAAATACAATTAATTTAATAATTTTTCACTTATTTCTAGATCTTTTTTTGCAGTGAACCATTCTGTTGCAGCTCTGTCTGTACATTTAGAGTCACTAATGCAATGGAGGATGAGCCTCTACAGTAGTTAGCCTCCAGTGATGTGCAGGTTTTTTTTTTCATCTCAACAGGGCAGCCCTCACCTGAGCTGCAGACCTCTGCAGCTCCTCCGCATTTAACCCTTTAAAGCCCAATCCAAGAATAAAACAAAACAGAAAATTACTTTTTTTGGTTTGAAGTCCTTATTTAGCCTTTTAACAAACTATGTAAAAAGAAAAAAACAGAAATAATTTTTTGATATTAATAATTTATTACTACGAGATAAGTCAAGATAATTTTTTGTGTAGTCTTCTGCCCTCTGTTATCAGGTATATCTGATTGTGTACAATAGGATTTTGAGCAAAGTTTCTACCATTAAATTATGCAAAAGGTGTCAGACGCAAAACATTTCAGAAACCGTATGTATCAAATATGATACATTTGGCATTACAGGGTTAAAATGCATCTCTCCTCTCTCTGTCTGTGCAAATTAACAGCCATATTGCTACTGTATTCATCCTGGTTGTCTGTGTCACAATGTCCCAATTTTAAGGCATTACTTTCTTAACCTTAACCTGATTTACCCATAATTTACTCCCGTCTGTTGGTTTTCATGACAATTTTTGCTCACTCATTTTCTCTAACTGCTGAACTACTATTTTTGATGTGCTAAATAACATCCCTATAAAACACCTGGAAGCATGAGGTTGGAAGAGGACAAAAACAGAGCATGTTAATGCTACAAAGTTCACTTTTTTTTTTTTTACACCTTTAAGATTAAGCTTCAGCTACTGAAAGGAAAACTTAATTAATTTTATCCTTACAGACAAGCAATAGAGGCAGATGGTACTCAGTACATTCCACAGGGTTAAATATGCAATGTCAAAGAGTTATTACAACAACAACTGGAGTAAGATATACACTATGTAGAGAGTTAATTTAACAATAGGGTTGCAACTAAGGATTATTTAGCAAATCAATTAATTTGACGATTATTTTTTCATTTCATCGATTAATAATCGGATAGTAAAAGGTTGCTTAAAGAAGATTTTTCATGAAATGAAACCAGGAGTTCTGCATAGAGCATACTGAGAAGACCAAAAAGATATTTATCTTAATTGCCAAATGTTTATATATTTTTCTAGAATCTTGGTATAATTACAGATATGTTTTAGAGTCTCTATACGCCAGTTACGATTAATCGATTACTAAATTAGTTGATTCAATAGGTGATTAATCCGATTAGTTGTTTTAATCCTATTTAACACTAATTTGCAGTGGGAACACTGCACTTGGGGTTAAATTGAACTCTTAAAGTGTTACTTTAACACTGCAAAATGTACTGTGTACTATAGCTATCTATATGTATCTATATACAGCATCACCAGCTTCATACAGCTATAAATATGCTACACTAATGTATGTATCTCAGGGACATGAGGCATGTGTTGATTTTGATATTCCCATTTAGTTAACTTTGCTTCTAAATGCAGGTAATCAGCTAAATGTTACTGTGAGCCTGAAAGTCAACAATATACCTAAAGATACTTCCACACATACGAACAAGTAAATCTTTCACACAGACCCCTGACTGAGCTCTACATAAATTAAACTGCCTGTCTGTTTTCTGTCTGCCTCTTGCTCACCCCTCTCTCTCTCTCTCTGTCTCGCTCTCCTTCTCAATAATTTCTTCAACTTCTGCATAAATTACTCCTCTTCCTTGCAGCTCTCTCTGCTCCTCCATTCAAATCTCTACAAAAGCCTTTACTTGTGCACCGGGAGCTTCTAGAAAGACTAATGTAGTCAGGATTAAGTCCTTTCACACATGTTGTGTTCACATTAAAACTGAACTTCTCACACCTCCAAGCACAATATGGGAAAGCACATATTGATATGAGTAATAAGACAAAGATGGTGGTTTATACCTAACTGCGCAGGGAGTATGAGTCATCTATGAAAAGCAGGCACCTGCTGGTCATTAAATAACGTTTGATCAGATCACTTGGAAAATGTAGGTATATTTTTATTTTTAAGCTGTTGTCATTTATGAACATAATTCTATAATCTTTGTACGTTTCCAAACAAGCTATTTTTATTTCTCCTTCAGATGTTTGGGACAGTTAATTATTGAATTAATCAATAATTTTTTTAACTTTTTTACTTAAATATACCATTTAGTGTAATTCTTAGAGGACAACTGGAGGCAGAAGTTGCAAAACTCTTTTTACAGAACAAAAAACGCATTTAAAAAAGTACCACTAGTGCATTTTTGTGACCACTAACATGTCCTCACTGATTGATCCTTTTCTAGTCCCATTTAAGTCTCAAATGAGATGCTGGGTTGTGAATGAGGACAGTCAGTCATGAAAACTAGTGAATAAAAGAATAAAGTAATGATTTTTTAGGGATGGGATCCAAAGGATCAGATCAGGGATAATGATTAATAAAGGATTTTTATAAACCTTTGGAGTTCAACTATCAAAAATTAAATAATAAACTTGAAATTTTACTTTTAAAAACCATTATGTGAAAATGAGTTATACGCCTATTATTTCTCTACTCGCTTTATTCATAAATACACATAAATATTTATACATTTACACTGTCTAAATTAATAATATATGGTTACAGGCATAATATATTCCCAGAAGCATAGAGGCATTTCTGGGAGCACCTCTGGGCTTTGCAGTGGGGCAGAGTGGGTCAGGGCTTGTAGTGTAAAAGAAGAGTTAAAGGAGCGGAGGCTAAGTGTGGAGAGGAGCGGACCGGAGCAAAACAGAGACCCAAACACTGTAAAGTCATTCTGCTCTTGTTTGGGTGAGAGTTGAGCAGAGTGAAGGTGAAAAGATCGTTGCTATGCCTTTATCATCAAAACGATTCGATTTTCAAAAATATCACATTCAGAATGTCTGGAGTGGTGCAGAATATAAGTATTGAATTTAATGAAAGAAAACGGAACAGGAACTAGAGAACATGAGGGTGCCGCTTACAGGCAGGGAGGAGTTAAACTTGTAGCTATCATCCTTCAACTTTTAAGTCTTGTGAAGCACATGAAAAGCTTATTAACATTTTTTGTCCATTTAAAGCCAACTGGAAGTGCATTTGAAAATGTATCTATTTTCTAACGCGTCATATTAGAGCAGTTCTAAAGAACTTTCAGTTTTGGTGGATTTTGGCTCCCCCAGTGGACAAAAGCTGTAGTGTTTTGTCCCTATGAGGACCAGCGCATAGAGTGGTAAAATCCTGATTGAAAGGTCCCCTGCATTTCGACTGAACTACATTTGACGAATAGTGATGAGGTAACGAATCTAACTGTGGCGAAACAATGTCATAAGACGATGTAGAAAATGACAAACATTTAACTTTGATTTTGTACCGTATTCCCGCACCGCTGCCCGTGTCAGCCCAATAAGTATTAAGTAGAAGTAAAATTACATAAGTTATGAAAATATGTTACGAGTGTTGTAAAGTTACTAAGTCATGGTTTAAAACAGAGGGCAAACGGGCTAACCCTATAAAAGCGAAAGATAAAGTGCAGTAACCAACACTGCTTGGGTCCTCCCAAGAGCCTCCCAGCAGAACATCAAGAAAAAAAGGCACGAATTTTCATTGGAATGAATGCAAAGTAAAAACATTTAAAAAAAAATGGTAATTCTGGTTAGTGCATTATTAACAAGACTTGAATTTAGTGTAGCTTGATTAGTCTTTTGGAACCTCTGACAGAAAACTGCACCCATGTCAATGAGTTTTCATTTGGTCTTTCAGAAGAATAGAGCTGCAAAACATATGGTCATTATGGTCAGATCAACTAAGAATTGGTTCACCAGCCAGAAACTTAACCTAATAATTTCCTTTTAAAGGCCTTAATCATTTAGGAAACTTATTAGTTTGGCCTAAAACCTTGAGGACAGAGGAAACCTAAACAACCTCAAGTGTGAATACCCAGTGCTGCACTGTCTTTAGATGGAGCTTTTCCATCAATTAAATCCAATGCAGCTAAAGATGAGACAAACCTAAACACTTTAACGTGGAATTTTGCACAGATTATGTGCGTTTGCCTCTTTAACTGAAAACTATTATGTTTTTCTGGGTGTGTTCAGCTGAGGTAAAACATTAGGTATGAATAAGCTCCTTTATGGCCCAGAAAACAACAGCAGACGGTGTGTAAACTGCAGAGCTTTTCAGGATCAGTCTGTCACTGTTGTCTCCTCAAGGCAAAGTACATGATGTTACCACTTTAACACCTCCTTCACCTGCAGGCAAACAATGTTAAAGTGATACTTCTTTTTCTTAACCCTGACAGCTCTGTTCCTGCTAACCTAAATTCATGAATGCAGCTAACCAGCATCTCCAGGATCTCTGCATAAAAACAATAATTCAGCAGAAAAATATGAAACTATTTTATTTATTGCAATTCTTAGCCAACATCTTTAGTTTTAAATAAAAGTGTATGTCTTGTATTTTGAGCAGGCAAATGACGCAGGATGAATTTTAAGGTACAACGAAGTTTACAGCTCAGCCTAGACGACGCAGACTTTTGTCTTCAAAGTGACGCCTACATAAAATCTAAAATGTTACCCAAGTTGGAGCCAGATGAAAGCTAAATGTGACTACAACTGAAAAAATACCATAAATCTGGAGGAAAGGGAGAAAGTTTCTTAAAAGTTTATGTGATTTTCTGTGCAGCTGCATTGTGGATAGTGTAAGTTTTGATATGTTATAAAACATAAAATAAAATGATTATATTTCCAATTTAACGGTAATTCCATGACTAAACTGCAAACCTGGTTTGGGTTCAATATCTTCAAAAACAGAATCAGGAGCCAGAAACTGCAGAACTAATGCTGCAGATGCAATCAAACTTTCATTAAGCGCTAAACTTGTGATGCTTCAGCTTTTATATTCCCAAACGGATCAGAGTCTGATTTAAGCTGCAGGTTCAGAGTGGAGCACTGTCTGTATTTTTCATATGCATGCGTGTGGGCGCTCACCCAGGGCAGACGATGACCGTCGGCCATGTGAGGGTCCCTCCGCCACTGCTGTGATGCCGGGTTCTGTGGCGTCACCTTGCTGAGCGGGTGTGGGGGCTGCGGCACACGAAACTGTGGGAAGAATCACAAAGACAAACAAAGAGGCAAAGTGGGCCCAGGGTCAGTCGATAGGTCAGGGGGAGTAAATACAAAATAAGAGAGGGACACATTCTGCATGCAAAGCACACAACCAGACACACACATTAAACTTAAAGATGGGTAATATCGGCCTGAAATCTGTACTAACAGCTGTGACTCTCTTTCAGAAGGACGATTAGAGGCAGTAAACAAATTACTTGCCTGTTTCCTGCACGTAAAATGCCTTAATTATATTACATACAGCTCCAGAAAGAGAAAACAAACGCAAACCCACGCGAACAAAGCAATCATTCAGGCGGATGTAAAAGAGAGTGTTGGAATCGTGCTTTTATCTCCACCATCATCCTGGACCTCAGTCACACTGGTGTTGCGGATGATGCATGTATTTTACTATCGGATGTGAATCTGGGCAGCCTGCAGTTTCATTTCAAAATGTTAAATGCTCTGCTGTTCCAAAGTATTCATACTCTTATGCATACTGATTCTCATTTTGTCACATTCTGGCTTTGATGAAAGAGGGAAAAAAGCCACTGTTGGAAAAAGCAGTATAAACATGCAGATTATTAAATGTTGTCTTGGATTCCCCCTTTTTTCCTGTCGAATCTTTTCTTATTGTCAGTAAAGAGTTTCAGTTTTTTTCTACTAAGAGGCATACCTTTTTTAGCATTCTAAAACCAAAACCTTACAAGTCGTTATCATCATGGGCAAAGAGAGGCAATAGTTGTATAATTTGGTTATAATGGCATGCATGACTAAGACAGAAAGGTCAAAGTGACTAAACATCTTGTTTCCTTTGAAAATAAAAAAGAGCACGGTTTGCATAACAGCCAACCACAGGTACACCCCTGCACACGTGCGCTCAAGTCATCCACGTACTGTTTACCTCTGCTTTTGTTTTGGGTTTTTTGTTGTATTTGTCCTCTTTATGTCTACAGCCTCTATTTGAGTTGCAACACAGTTACACCTCTCCTGCTGCATTAACAGGTAATAAAAGCAACCAATTGGACTCAGTCTGGACTGAAATTGAGCTCATTCTTCGTAACAACCTCTGACTTTATGGAAGAAACGGTACTTCAGTAATAAAGCCATAAATTCTCATTCCCCTCACTGCTCCCCATCTTCTTACAGAACAACACTATGAATAAAACATCAAATCATTCGGGTTCTGTGCTGCACAATATTCTCTATATGCTTCTCTATGAATAATGTAGTGGTGGAGCTTATTAATATGGGCTTTCCTCGGCGGTGAGGTAATTCTGCACCCACAAACAAAAGTCGTATCTGCTCTGATGCTTGGCCACTGCGAGTTGCAACCTAAACACCGGTTCCACTCACGGCCGTATGAAAACTGTTTGCTGCACAGTGCATCTCAGAGCTGTGGCCGAGTAATGTAACGGCAGTAAAGCTTTACAACAGCGACAACATGCAGAAGAGATTTACACCACCCTGCACACTTATTAGCCTTAGAAATTCATCTTCACTACATTAGCATAATCCCACGGTGAAAAGATTTGATGCAGGTCAGAAACAGTGATATTTCCCTGACTGTGCAACGTAGCAGAATTAACCTGCATCCTTTTTGGCCACAGTTAGAGTTATTTTTCAATCTTTGCATCATTATAATGGTTAGATATTTGGAAATATGTAGATGAGCTTCTTTCTTTTGAAGGAGTTTCTCTATATGTCGTGATAAAAGTGGTAAAAAGAAATTACCCTCATTTAATCTGATGTGTAGCTGATGAAAAAAGCAGGTTTTGTGAACTTCCCCTGTAAACTACTTACTATAAGAGGTCCCAGTTCATGTCTCACTAGTTAATTTATCTAAAACAATCAATACTTATCATGTTCTTCTCCCCCCTTACTAGTTAAATATACTTAAGGAGAATAATCAATGAAAGGGTTTTTGAATATCTTTAGCAGGAGTTCCCCAAATGCAGATGTTGCTGCAGCTTTATGATATAAAGGCTGCGTTCTCTAATGGAAATTTCCCTCCGTTTTCCATAAGCAGCTCATTCTCAAATGTCACACAAATATGCCTGGCAGAGAAGCTTGTATCACTTCTAGCTGCTGGAGATATCTCAAAGTTATATTTAGCTTGTTTCCAGATGATTTAGTCACGTTATTTTGTTTACTTTGTAATGATTTACTCTCAAACGTAACCAGTTTCCTAACAAGCTGCTGTGGGAGGATGATATACTAGTCTTAAAGAGAATAGAAACTACAACCCTGCATATATATGCATTTTTAAGTTATAGCAAAGACAGTTATACTCTAAATGATTCAAATTGGGAAATGATCAAATCTTAGCCCCAAGCTCCAGGGTTAGAGATGTCAGAATGTTAGTTAATCTATAATACGTCAATCATGTCTTTGATGTGGAAAGTGACTTTTTTATTTAAAGTGAGCTTTTAAAAATACTAGTTAAGCTTTGTGTTGTTTTGATGCCTTTTCATGCTATGCCTGTGGAGCTTCAGCTGCACCAGACCTCAACCTGCAGGGCTTTGGTTTCCACAGAGGTGCAGCAAAGAAATATCACAAGAAAATCACTTGGGAAAAAAAATATACTACAATCCAGACTTAGATAAAGACACCACTTCTGGGCTATGAGTGCTTTTAGCTAATTATGTGACATATCCACAGGCTTTTATATGAATCATAGCCTTTTTTTTTGGCTTTAAAGCTACCCAACAATGAACTGAATAAAGGTACAATTAGTTTTTTTGAAGAGCGTCCTTTCAAGTCTGAATTTTAGTCATTTCCCAGTCGATGAGCATACGCTGTAGCTCGGCAGTCACAGAAGCGCGGCGGCTCTCTCTTAGTGAAAGAAATGAGAGTGGTTGGGAATCGAAGAAGGCTGCGTTGCTTCAGGTGCCTCTGCTTAGGAACAGTAAGTGATATTGATTCATACAGCAGAATGAGGAGGAGGTTTGTTTATTGTAACTGGAAGTAAGACTGCAGATAGCTAAAAGCTGGAATCAAAAGGTAAAAGGATGCTTGATTAAGAACCAAAATTACCCCTCTGTAGCATCAAGGATTTGATTTATCTGACTATGAATATTTATAAAAATGATGTGTTCATTTTTTGTTTTAATTTTTTTGCTTTTTCAGACAGGTTCAAACAGCACACTCTTCTGCCAAGTGTCAAAGACAGCTTCATTACTCAGGACGGGATTTCCCAAAAGGAGCTCTTCTACTGCTAAATCGACATTTAACAGCATGAATGTGGATAAAGGCCAGAAAGAGATCTCATATCAGACAGCTGTAAACCCCCAATGGGTTACCTGTAGGTTTTAACATTGGATTTTGTGTTCTTTTTATCAATTATAAAACATACATGGTGATATTCTAACGCGTGTTGTAATAAAACTAAAAAGTAGAGCCAAAAACCCACAGCGAGCCCTTCCTGATGACCTGAGAGGGGGATGTTTTTAAAAGCAAAACTAAGACGTGTCTTTTTTATGTAGATGTAAAATGACTTCCAGCAAACGAGAATAATTTATGGTGACTTAATTTATCTTATCTGAATTATAGCTGTAGTTCCATTAGAGACAGAAAATGTTCAGATAATGTTCAGTAAAACTTCTTCACCTTTTGACGGGTATGTTGCTTACTTTTCCTGAGCAAGGTACTTTAATTTTTTTTTTTTTTTTCATATTTCTTTAAAAATAGAAATTAAATAAACAATATTCACAAGATTAATCATTAAGTAATTTTTTTTGTTAATTTTTACAGTTTAAGTTTGGTTACTAGTGTGAATTGATTGTTTTCTTTAAAGGGAGGGCATGTAAACTTTCAAGCATATCTGTAAATCACTCTGTGTTGCACCCTCTGTGTACAAAAGAGTCGAAAGCTTTAAGATTAACTGATTCATTGCTGCCTGCAGAGGACTCCTAACTTCTGACAGACACTTAAAATTTCCCATTACTCACTAACGCAAAAAGGAATTTTCCTCCTTTCTGAAGAGACCAAAGAGGGAAAACAAAATGTAAAAATTGCTGGTGGGAAAGTGGAGAAAATAAGTTTTAGATGATCATTAGTTATTCATTTTGTGAAAACGAAAACATTTAGGGAAAAATATATATTTATTTTCAGCTACTGTGTGAGATCTCTCTTGATTGTTGGCATTTCTGTTTCCCATTTAATTACTCATCGTTAATTTGGGATAGTCTACCGAGCTCTCAGGGTTTTAGGAATACAATTTAGAAACAAATTCAGTGAATTTATTTTTCGTGAATCAATATTTTGTTCATATCACTTTGAGTGGTTTCAGTTTGTTGTATTTTTGTGTAGTTAATCTGTTTGTAAACTATGATGTGATCAATATGGGTTCAGGGTTCTTATGCTCTATTTACATTACCCCTCTGAAACCGATCCTGAGCTAGGATCAGTTAACCGTGCCGAGCTTGGTTCCTTACGACCATTTACACATCCCTCTAACATTGGCTCCTCGCCTCCTATTGGAGGTTCACACCACTACAGCTCTTAAGGCGGGAATTATGCAAACAAAAATGGCAGCGCCCATAACATTCAAGAACGTATGTGCCTGGATAGCGTCCTCCGCCCTCATTTCAAAGAGAGCCTCGGTCTCGGCATCATCGTAGGTCACACCCCACTCTTTTGATGCCATTTATTCTTAATGCCATTTATTCTTAGTCAGAGTCAGCTGACTGTAAATAGGAGATGACGCGGTCTGAGCCATGCAGAGCCCTACTGTTGAACTAGGACTAGATCAAGCATGGTTCTGTTCTGTCTGATACAGTCCAGTTCCGTTGCAATTCATTTACTCTCAACAGTTATCTCGGTTAGTATTCTCGAACCATTCTCGGCAGGGTTTCAAAAGGCTAGTGTAAATGTGGGTAGAGTTAGCCCATTTACTCTAATCTAAGCCAATATTGTATATATCTTAATGTCATACATCAAAATACTACATAGACATTTCCGTAAACAGAGGTTGTCAAATATTGGGAGTACTCTTGGTTTAATCAAAAACGTTTTTTAATATTATGTTGCAACTTTTACAATTTTTCAAACATGTAGCAGCTTTTTTCATTCCTTCATTTTTTTTTTTGCTATATGGCATTTTGTTTGCCGCCTGACCCCTCAGATGTAATTTCTGCTGTTAAAACCTTGAAACTCAGAAAATCAGGTTTTTACGGAAAAACACACCAAAAGCCTCATCCGTACATTAAAACATATTCTCCGGATTGTTAGATTTACCAACAAATTATAAACACCTCTTTTTTTGGTTGGTGATATAAATTGACCACAGACAGGCCAAGCACATAACAAAATATTACTTTAGAAAAGATGTTTTCATGTAAAAGGAAAAAAAAGGCTTAAACACCTTGACGTTTACATGTACCTAACTATCAATCTGCTTTAATTTGCATGTGTAAGATAAACTTAAGTGTGGAGGGAACCAAAACTGTCTCATCCTGTTGGTTTTTAAAATGTTTAGTAGTAATTCACAGCTTACACAAGATGTTTTTTGGAGCACACACCTTCTTTGCCTCACACGCTCCGAAACAACAACACACTGCGTCACAGACACTAACCTGATTGGTGGAGGGGAAGTCGAGGCCTGCTTCTGGCATACCCAGGAACATGGTGTCCCCATCCAGCTGGAGAGAACAAAAGCAAGAGAAACAACGTCAACAAACTGAAAAATCAAACATAGCAAACAGAGCAGCCAGCCTCCGGTGAGATGAAGGTACCAGATTAACTGGCAAGCAGTCACACCATTTTATTTCTGTTGTCTTCATCTGACACTAGAAGTGCTTCAATTATCCAGGTCTTTATAACACTAAAGAGTGAAAAATGACACAAATGCTCAATAAAGCTGGAAAAGTGTTGTACATTGAGACGGGTGAAAAATCTTTAGGGCGTACACATAAACATAGACATTATGGATTCCTTTTTTCAACTGCAGTATTTTAAATTTTTTTATAGACCTGCAAAAAATACATTTCTTACTGAATCAGTACCCTGTATGATGGGGACACCATAGTTGGTACTTACAGTCACTCCACTGGGTGTTAATTGAAAACAGGATATTATCTTTATTTTGCAAACTAGCCGCACATAACGACCCATTTCTTATAGCTTTAACAGGACATTTTTCTTATTATACAGCATGACCTTTACCAAACTTCCTCTATTACCGGAACCACACTTCCTCCTTTTTCATTAGTTTTAACTTGTCCAAAGGTTTGAACCTCACATATCAAAAGCAACCAAGGCTCATTAAGAAGGTTTTAACATACGGCATAGAAAAATGTTTTTATACTACTGTTTGGCTTTTTTTTTTTCTTTTATCCCGATAACCTATATAAAGCCAGTACCATGTTTAAATAAAACAAATTCATATAAAAAGTTATTTAAACAAATAAATGCCTTTTCTTGGGTATTTCTGTCCAGAGCCTTTAAAAATTATGTTAGGTCTCTTTTGTATAAAATAATCTTCATCATATTTGTTGATTTTATTGGGAAAAAAAAGAAAAAAGAAAAAAAAAACAAGCTCCAGTGCCTCTTCAATGTGGTCTTAACACCATCTGCAAACTGCCCCGGTCAGAAACAACCAATCAGAGCCAGGAAGAAGTTAGGAATTTAATCCTGAATAAAGTGTATCATCGATGTTTCATCCCCTACCACTAAAAATGCGATTGCTGTTTATCTGACGTTTTCAGTGCCCTGTTTACAGCAGGCTCTTCTATGGAGGAGGGGCTGTAGCGCAGGTGATAGTGAAGTGGGGACCGGCAAGGTGTGCCTGATCAAATTTTGTGGCTAAGTCCACGGTTTTCTCAGAACTCTCTACTGAACCTTTAACCCAAAGGTAAACCATACAGACAGACGTTGGTCTTTTATACACCTATTTTGAAGCAAAGCAAAGCTAGCTGCTTTGGATTTCATACCATTTATGCATTGGTTTCTTATTGACTTGTGGATATTTCATAACCACAGTGACAACTTAACTTTCGATAACTTTGTAATACTTCATAAGTGTCAACTGGCACAAACAGTGATCAGAAACTTTTAAGTGGTAATGCACAATAATATATACTTGTATATGAATATATTGCACTAAACTAATACAGTGTCCCCTGCCTCTCAACCAATGAGAGCTGCAGAAAGGTACCAGTCAGTTGTGTTACTGTGGATGGATGGATGGATGGATGGATGGATGGATGGATGGATGGATGGATGGATGGATGGATGGATGGATGGATGGATGGATGGATGGATGGATGGATGGATGGATGGATGGATGGATGGATGGATGGATGGATGGAATGCAAATCTTTTACATAATTTATGCAGCAGGGAAAACTGACCACAAAAATGTTGAGGTTTGCTGATGTTTAAAATGCTGCATTTATCAAAGTACTTAACAACACTGTTCCCATTCGTGTAGCTTTGTTACCCTAATTAAACTAATAATCTTTCAATTATAGATATATTGTGGATGGCACCATGTCAACTGCAGATCTAAAAACCAAACAGCACAATGCAATACCAACGTAGGTCAGGAAATGGCGTGAGCCGATAAGAGATTCTACAACTGTAATAAAAGTGAGTAAAAATACCACCATTTTGCATATGTAGATTCAGAAAATTGAAAACAAATTCAGAATTTTTACCTAGAACAGAAAGTCATGCTCTTTCTGACTGCTGTTAAAATAACAGTGTTATGGCACTACTATATTTTGCTTCAATGAAATATAGGATAAACTTTCAAGCTTAGCAGCAGTTTAAAACTGCTTATTTTGCAGAATTTAAAACTTTTTTAAAACTAATCTACTCTTTATATATGTAGTAACACAATGATAGAAAGCTGATACTAGTTGGGCGAATTACATTTTGCCATATATAGTTTCAAACCAGTTACCGTACTTAAATATACAGTATAAGTGTATAATCATGACTCTTTGAGGTTTTCCAAACCAGAAATACTTCCAAAATCCAAAAGGTCTTACAGCTTTCTTTCTTGACTGTGCAACTTTACCTCTTTATTAATTCAGGATAGGAATAGCTTAGATTTATAGCTATAAACTATGAAAAGAACTGCTAAATAAGCAAAAAATGTACATTACTGTACTAGTTCTGTCATTCACTATGTTAGAGTGACTTGTTACCGATTGAAAATGTACCAAATACCACAATCTAAAAACAGCAGTATTAAATTTACTGATTTTTTACTCTTGAAGCACTGCATCCAGCCCAAAGAGAGACCAAACAAATCCATATTTGCATGGTAAGCCATATTCAAATAATTCGTGGTATCCTGGGTACATAACTATTGTTTCAGTTGACAAACACAAGAGGAACATTTGAACAGGTGGCTGGAGGCAAAGCACTGACTTGAGCACACACACACTCACACTCACGCACACACAAAGGTGGACAGACAGGTGTAGCTGCCCTATCCATTCGCCAGCTGTTGGGTATTATGCAAACGAGGTGTTGAATTACAGAGCAAACAGAGAGCCTAAAGGAAGAAACAGGCAGAGTGATGGACAGGATGTTGGTTTGGAGCATTTACAGTTAAGTTATAAAGTGTTACCCAGAACAGTTTCACATGTCAATACGGTGACAACAATAACAAGAACACAATCATTTCCCATCACTCTGAATCACACTCATTCGGCTCTTGGTGTGAACACTTTCAGTAAGAAAGAGAGGAAGGGAGGAGGAGAACGAAGGATCTCAGTGTCAAATAACTTTCTTCCGTTTACTGTACCTTCGACAGAAAACAGCAATAACAGCAGGTCTGACAGGCAAAGACTGAAGCTGTCGGACTGTAGAGCAACCATTTAAAATACAATACACACATAAAACTCCCATGAATCCCTCTTATAATAAAAGCTAAGGAACGCATAGTTTTTGAATTACAATTGTTCAGGAAGATCTAAAACTTGTTATAATCGTAATTAGTACTTATTTTAGATGCATTATGTTGCACCTATCTTGTATGAGGGGAGTGGCAGCTTAGTGGTCATGGCATAGGGCTTTGAATCATGAGGTTGTGAGTTAGATGCCCCACTCCAACAGACTGCCACTTTGGCTCACTGAGCAAGACCCTTAACCCCACACTGCTCCCCGGGCGCCGCACAATGGCAGCCCACTGCTCCCCAAGGGGATGGGTTAAAAGCAGAGAATTCATTTCTGGCAGCTTAGTGGTCATGGCATAGGGCTTTGAATCATGAGGTTGTGAGTTAGATGCCCCACTCCAACAGACTGCCACTTTGGCTCACTGAGCAAGACCCTTAACCCCACACTGCTCCCCGGGCGCCGCACAATGGCAGCCCACTGCTCCCCAAGGGGATGGGTTAAAAGCAGAGAATTCATTTCATTGCTCTGTACTTGTGACAGTGGAATGACAAAAAGTTTAATTCTATCTTGATATTTTATTTAAATTGTAAGTTAGACTGGCCAGTGGCCTTTGGGTTTTCTAAAAGAAAAAAGAAAGGGTTATTATCTGACAAAACCAAACTGCAATTGTGATGTTGGTCTTTCTACTTCTTTTCGACACATGAGAAAAGAAAAAAATTGGGTGAAATGGGTAAAACTAAACAAAAAAATGTTCTAAAAGATTTTCTAAAATGTAAGCAACTTTAAAAACGCTGAGAAACACTGCAGCTTTATTGATAAACATGGAATTCTCATGGTTTTATAACTTTGAAATTACCGCGTTAACATGATATCTGAGCAAAAATTTGAAAAATATATTTTCAAAAGGATTAGAAGTAGATCACAGAAAAAGGTATGTTTGAAGAGGAATTAAATAAGAAGGTAGAGCTTGTTTAAAACGCTTATAAATTCCAAGCTGTAGCTTTAAAATGTGTTGGTAGATGTGATTGGGAATTAGTCTTTCCTGTATGCAGAATATAAATATGCATATATAAAAATGCGATTTCTGAATCGTAGAGACACTTTTTGGTCAGGTAACATTTTACTAGAGTAACACACTAATTTAGGGCTCCCACTAACGATTACCGATTAATCTGTTGATTATTTTTTTAGTTAATCGATTATTAATGGGATAGCCACAGATTCCTTAAAGGCGACTTTTTACGAAATTAAATCAGGTGAAACTAAAACTTTTCCGCCTGAGGAGTTCTGGATCGTAGAGCTGAATCATATTTTAATCTGAAATGCAAAATGTTTACATTTTTTTTTTATTACAATTTTGATATTATTACTGCTCTAAGTGGGTCACTCTGTCAGCTAAAGGGATGTTTTAGTGTCTCTAAACTCCAGTTAACGATTAATAAATTACTAAATTAGTTGACGATTATTTCAATAATCAGTTAATTGTGATTAATCACATTCATTATTTCAGCATTGCACTAATTTCCTGACTTACTACATTGCAGAGTTAAAGCTTAACATATGTTTGCCACAGAGTGGAAGAGAGTTGCAGCAGAGATCCATGTATGCAGGCTGGAGGTTAGCATTCTTGAGGTGACAATGCACCCTGACAAGAGAGCATTTGATTCCAGAGAAACAATACAACTCTGGAGCCATAAATGTATACACTTCTGGTTAGTGCAAAGGAAACTTGAAAAAAATGTGTTCATAATTATTTTTTTTTTAACTTTTTAATACCTGAATACGTATAATA